TGTGCAGAGGACATGAATGTGATCAAAAGCAGCAAGGCCCCATTAAGCCTGATGGTATTTTGTTCTGTGCATCTGTAGGTCACACAAGCGCATTGCAAAACTTCACAGAACCAGCAGGATTTCATTATTAGGAGGTGCAGCCGCACTGGTTTTGGAGAGAAGGGGAATCTCGGTTTGTGTTAGAACCTAGCACAAGCAGTAAAGGCTTATCCCTCCGCGGCTTCCAGAAGCAGATGTCGGAGTGCCCTCTGCTGCTACCTGCTTGTATCACACCCAGCAGTTTCTGTCACTTCATGCCGGTGGCCCAGGTGTGCCTTATGCTTGTAAAATGCAAAAATGATTGGGCAGGAAAACAGAAGCTGACCACGTTATAAAAAAGGGACTGGCTAGAAAAAGCAATTTTCAAAGGTACACGGAGAACACCCTGGCCCGGGGCTAGCCAAGGGCTCAGGATGGACTATGAACTTAACGAAGTACAGAAACTATTAGTTTGGCATTCTACTTTTTCCGTCTTCTTTTACCCCCTCCTTATCTTGATATATCTCCCTGCTACATCTCTTTTCTTTCAACCTAATCCCGTTATGGAGGTAATTTTCTAGTTCTGGACAATACAGACATAGTAGAAGAGGACTGCAGGACACCATTTCTGCACGATTTCCAAATTGGTTCTAGGAAGGTATGGTTCCAGTACTGAGCAACAGGCTTGGAAAGAGAGCACAAGATAGGGGAGGACAGGTATTGAGAAAGAGCATTTCAACCTGAAACTAAATACACAGACATTACTCTTCTAACAGGAAACCAGGTAAAACAGGCAGGAGTTCAAGGCTTCTGGCTCACAAGAAAAATTTACACTGCAGGTTTTGCATCTAACTTTATTTACACTGTAACTCACTGAGGTTTTAAAATGAGAAAACCAAAGCGTTCATAAAAAAGGATCCTATACCTCCAAAAAGATTAAAATTTGTTTGTCTTCACACAAATATAATCAGGTTTCAAGCAAACAGTCTCAAAACTAGTTAGGAAATCAAATGAGGCAGTTATAATAGGAAAGTAAGGAAGGACAGCCCTAGAGGAATAACCTCAGTGTCAATTACAGCCTTGCACTGATTGATTTCAAAGTCTGCCTGGGGATGTGGCAGTACTAACTCATGTAACTTGCAGAGAACTGCTGCAGTTTCACTAGGAAATGCCGAGTTGAAAACCTTTTCATATGGAAGGTGCTCTTGCTAGTAATTCAGATATGCGACTGGACAACAACAACGTGCAAATCACGAGGGAGTACTCTGGTTTGCAATGTATTACCGTTAATTATCCTGCAATGACGATACTGTGCCCTTATTCTGTCAGAAACACTCGCAGAGCCGCTAGAAAACGAAATTAAAAGCTGGCGATGGCAGTTGCCTAGAGGAAGACAACACCGGAGAGGTTAAAGGCAGCGAAGGAAATTACTTCTTTAAGAGTCCTTGCGGCTTCGTTGCACAACCTCTAGCGGAACTGCCCGACTTCGCGCCGGGGCCTCGCTCCTCTCGGAAATAGAACTAAATAACACCCTAGGGTACTGTTTCCACTACGAGAAATGTACCAAGATTTATTTCCTCAAGCGCCGGGCAGCTGGGTGCCTGCCAGACGGCGTTCCCAGGTTTGAGCCTGCTTTCAGGAAGGTGTTTCTATGCTGAGGTACCGTAGGCGCTGGCACAACAGTACAGCCCTCCCTCAAACACACGCTATAAACACGGTAAGCGCCCCAGCCCACG